CTGACCAACACTGGGAAAAGCTGTTGTTAACACAGCCTGCTTGTTACACTGAGCACTCTGCAAGGCCTCTGTGCATTATTTTCCATAGATGTTTCAAACTCCTCATTGCTGCAGTTGTGGAAGAACAGCTTCAGGGCTTGCAGAACAAAAGACCTCCTTTGCTCCTTTCACTTACACAAAGTACTATCTAAGGTAAAGAAAGGGGTGCAGGTGCCACATCCCCTCTCCCATTCACTACTTTTTATTATTTGGTCTACTGGAAGGTCGACATTATACAGTAATTATTTGTTGTCTTGGCTAACAGCCAGCCACCTGTATTGCTAGCATGACAACGGTGAAGTAAGGAAGGGTGAGAATGGGGAAGGGAGGTATGAAAGTCCCTATAGCAAGAGGAACCCCAAACAAAACAAGAAAAAACACAGAGAAAGAGATATGTCCGTGGCTGCATGTATATAAACTCTACCAAAGGGCACCAGCACAGGTACTATATAAACTAGAAGAGCTACAGATACCTTGATATCATCTAGAAACGCAATATCTTCTTTCTGTATTGCTTTGTCTGTCCATATTAAGGCACTATAAGTCTTTGTCTTTTCCTCTTCACCTTCCTTCATACGACCAATTGCCTCTCTAAACAAAAGAAATTAATTACTCACATAACATAAGCATAATTATATAATGCTGTGAGCTAGAATGCTTGCAAAACTCCCAAAGCATGGCTTTGAAATCCCTTGCCAGCCATGATAAATACTGACCTGGTGACAAGCTGTAAATCTCGAACCTGTATTTTGTCTGAAGAGTTATTAATTGTCTGTGATATTTAAAAAAGAATCAGTTAGCAAAACTGCTCAGTTAGAGAAGAAACACATGCTTTATGAGTTCCATGAGATGCAAATGATTTACCTGCTGAAGTCCCTTCATTTCCTCAGCAGTAAAATGTATTCTACGAGGATTCACAAGCTCAATTGCAAAGGGCCTTCCTGGCAACGTGCACAGTCATAAAACATAAAAACATGTTGTTCTAAATTAATGTTTGAATTTATGCAGTAAGGTTGGAAGGTGTGAAGATTGTCTGCTGTTCTGCAAACAGGGATAGGACTTGCGGGTTTAGGGATGTAGCATCAGATGGAAGGAAAGGAACAAGGGACTTTTTTTGGCTACTAAACCCCAGTATCAGCAATAAGTGCAAATTATGGCTTCCCAGAAGACATCTTGTACAAGTCTGTGCTAATTAAAAAATAAAATAAGAAAAAAAGTTAATTAGCTTATTTTCTGTCACCTACAGCAATGCCCAGGTGCAAGATGATGTTAAATCCCTCTCCCTCAGCTAAACATCTGTTGCAATAGCTGCACTTTCTCCGCTCAGGGCCAGGGATGATCCCCAGTATAAGCCATGCCAAGAGCTACACTAAAAATCAGACAGCAACTGTAACACATCATTGTTAATTTTTACTTTCCCCTTTCTCTCCTCCTTTGGTTATAGTAGCTTCAGCGTATCAGAAAGCAACTGACCTTTATGAAAGGACTCAAGTTCAAGAAGAAAATAAGGCTCCCCCGCTCCCCAGTGCCAGTGAGGCAAAGTCACAGGACCCAACAGAAAACAAGATAGGAATCAGTCCGACAGAAAGGGCTTAAAATTAGGAAGTAAATAAAATAAAATACTCCTAACAAGCTGTGCAGTTCCATGAATTTGTGCAGCCAAGGACACGGAAAAAGGGCTCCTCATTCAGCTGGGTTTATGAAACTGTTCAGTCTTTGGGAATAACTACGTAAATATCACTAAAATGCTTCCGAGAGAAAATTTCAAAGCATGCTGAGTCACACACTTATGCGCTTAGCATTCAACAAGATCTGTCAGGATAGCTTCGGTTAACCATCTTCTTTACTTTTGTGTTTCACAAGGGATGTTCCCAGCCTTACCATTGCCTAGTGTTCTTACATCCACATCTTCTCTTCCAGAGGAAGAAAAATTAAAGCCTGGAACAGATTTGAACAAGGGAGATGAGATTTTATTTTGCATTTTTAATACTCGATAGCTTTTAAAAGGTGAAGTATTTTCTTCCTAAATTTGTTTGCAAATATACTTTGCAGAGCTATCTTTATAAAATGAAGCCTGCACTGTATTTAAACAAATCTGGAACAACTGCATTCGGTTCACAAGTTTCCTGAAGAGCATTCCTAGTTCCCTGGCTTGAATGAGGCTGCTATAACCCTGATCTATGAATAAAACAAAACTGAGCTGTCTTCCTCCAAAACACAACTTTTTATCCTAAATACACCCAATGGTTTCCAAACATTTCAGATAAATTTCTGCTAGTCACACACATCTGGAAAAAAAGAGGAAGAAAACTCAAGTCTAAACTGAAAAGTAACCTCTATGTATTTGGTTTTTTTCATCTTCCAAGCTACAAAAATATACTGTTGGGTACTCAGTTTCCTTCATCATATCCCTTCTACCTTTAAGCTTTGCCTGAAGGAGGAATGGGGGACCAAACCCTGCACTAGAGGTAACTTTGTAGCTCTATTCAGAGTCTCTGAAAAACTGATGGCTTCAAAATTTTTTCTGCAATAGAGAATATACAAATGTCCTCAGTTTTTATTATATCTGATTTCTCTGGTCATATGGACACAACAGAACCATCCTCCATGGCCATGAAGGCGTATTTTGGTCGTACTATCAGAATTTTCTCAGTTGGGAATGCTCCAGCCCCCTAATCATCCTCACAGCCCTTTGCTGGACTCGTTCTGTTATGTCCACTCCTTTCTTGTACTAGGGAGACCAGAACTGGACCCAGTACTCCAGATGTGCCTTCCCAGTGCTGAGAAAAGGGGAAGGACCAACTCCCTTGACCTACTGGCAATGGTCTTTCTATTTGTTTAGTATCTCTTCTCAACATTACTGCACACGCACTTCTGGTGGCCACCTGTGGTAATTCTGCAAGCTGAAATCGGGTGTTAGTACCTGGCCTAAAGACATGGTTTGAGGATTTTCCTACTGTTCAGACTAACATATCCATTGGGAGGAGGGAAGAAAGGAGGGGAAAGTAGCTGGTTTTTCCAAACTAATATTTAATGCGATTTTTCCTTGGGCCTTTTATGTCTCTGATTCCATGTTTAGTAGGTGACAAAAGATGAGCAGTGATTATTTCACCTGGATAATCCCTGGATAAGCATTTAGCTTGTGGAACTCTATGCACTGAAGAAAATAAGCAAGGTCAGAAGCATGAAGGGGTTGAAGGCTCGGCGGATATTATGGAATGCTGATGGTAAAAACTTTCTCATTACAAGTCATTTTATGAATTACCAACTGTTAAGAAGTATAGCTAGGCAAAAGTACTACCACATAAAACCATAATATTTGCATCATCAGATCAACTGAGGAGGTATTTTAGAAGGATAAAAGACACTGCATAAAACAAAGCAGTCATCTAATTACCCACAGATCATAGCTAAAAAAGGTTTACAAGCTTTGACTTGGAAGGATAAGAGAGGGATAAAGAAACACAGTTTTTTCCATTACACTCTGTATTAAGTGAGCAGCTACTAAGAAAAAATACTCCAGTAATGATGAAAAATAAATATGGTAAAAGAGATCTCCTACACACTTACTATCTGCTTTGAATTCTACCATTAGATGCTCCGAAATCAGTTCTTCTACTGAAGATTCCAGCTTCCGCTCCCCATCAATAATCCAGGGAGTCTGAGGTAAATTCCTTGAATATTTATTGTATCTTCCTGTAAGAAACAACTACGTTATCTGTAATAATTCTAAATCAATGGACAACAGCTCTAGTATTTCACAGCACAACACATTTAAGTTTCATCGGAGCTTTGTGAAAATAAATTTACAGGCTTCAGTTGTTTTATGGCAAGGGCGTTACAGCAACGGTAGGAAATGCATGCCACTGCGCCTACGAGAGCTGCAGTATCTGAGATGGCCAGCTTAAAGGCAGACTGTTGCTGCAGTCATACCTTCAGGTATAACCATAGACACAAAACTCTATGTAGCCTGACACAACTGAGAATGAAAACCCAGAGGCTGAAGGGCCCAGTCTGAGTCAACTTAATTCCAAATGGAAATAATTAATCTTTTTTTAATCAGATCATGGTCTTTAACCAGCCTCCCATATACCAAACTAGTGCTCTACATATGCCTGTACACCAATGTATCTGTGTCCCAAGGGAAGAAGTTCCCACACCCTCCTGTGTCAAGTAGTTCAGGTTTCAATCCAAGTTCTGCCATTGTCTGAATGTTTAACAGAAGAAACCCAAACTAAATGCTTTGGCTCATCACAAGGAAAATGTCTCAAACTAGTACAACTATCAAGAACCTTGAAAAGCTGCCATGTAAAGAGACTGCCGTCCTCTGACTGATGCCAGCCTTGTGTTATGTCACGCTGGCATGTCTCTGTGACAGGAGGACTGCTACAACCCAAGAACAAATCTGACACACATGACCAAGATGAGCTTTCTTATTGACAGGCTTTATAAGAAGTGAAAATACGCACAGAACAAGGAACTCATTCATAAAGAACAGCAAGTAACCCCCCTGGACAAACAAGTTTCAATCTGAAGCTTTGCATACAGAAAATAAAAAAAAGGAGTCCAAGGTAGCTATGCATATTATACTGTGCCTCTATCACCTCCAATTTTTCTTGGTTTTCAGTATCATATTTTCCTATTTCTAACAATGTTTTCCTCTTGCACTTTGATCTGCAGAAAAACCCACACAAACAAATGGGGAAACTGACTAGTACTGTTTCACTGGGGCAAATAATGAAAGTACTATGACTAATCACTCAGAAGTCAGCTTCACACTGCTCAATTCTCTTTCCATAAAATGGAAAAAGGAAAACGATTGTTTTTTCCTCTCAACTCCCCATTCTAATAATTTTAGCTTTTGATCTGAACAAGAGTGGGTTAAAAAAACCAGAAGTTTGACAGCTCCTCCTGAACCTTTAAAAAAAGAGGCTGGGGGGAAGCATTCGGTGAACATCAAAGACAAGGTCAGGAAGGCAATACCAACTCTCAAACTGTGCTTACAAGTTAAGATCCCACCTCACTTAAACTGCTGTAATAGCAAAATAACTACACTGTACTCAATAAATTCTTCTACTCTGGATTTAATTATTCAAAAATTAAAGACAGCATCCTGGCTGGGGTTTTTTTTGGTTTTGTTTAGAACAAGCTATAAACTATAAAATGCAAAACCAGTATTAAATCACATGCAGAAAGCTAACCCTCTTGTTTCTTTCTCCATACAGATGAATTCTGATAAAGCCATCCAACAAAACAACCTAAAATAAAGTGTATTTGGAAAAGGCTAAAAGACACTGGATATCTTGGATTCATGTCAATGTCCATCTGGCTGTCTAATCAGCAATTAAAAATAAGAAACAGGTATGTATAGAACACAACTAGCAAGCCATGAGAACATTCACTTTTGCATTTTTTCTTTTAATTTTACCTTTTCCTTTATTCAGGATTTGTACTATCCTTGTAACCACAGTATGCTGAATTAAAATTGTAGAGTTTTGGGGTTTTTTTTTTAATAATCATTTTGCATATATTTAAATAAGTGGTTGTTTATACATAGTACTGGGGGAAGGGTAGATAACTCTTGTAGGCAACTGATAAAAAGGTTGAATCATCTCAACTCAGGGACACCAAGTGTTGTTGCATTACCAGTCTCGTCCAGTATCCAGTTATTACAGATGCTATCTTGGTTTGGAAGAGGAAACCTGAAAGAGCTAAGCTTTCCAAAATGCAACCTTTATTAACTACATTAAGATTGGCAGTTTTGGCTGGAATAATATGCAGATAAATCCAGATGGTGGAAAACCTCTGAATTCAAATCAAAATCCAAGCAAGTGACAGCACTGCTGGGAGCTTATTTAGGGCAGAGTTGCCTTTCCCAAACCATATGCTTACCAGGAGGGGACATATTACAACTGCGGGATTTGCAGGGATAATAGTTTTCCGAGGAAAGAGCAAGCTTTGACAACAAGACATCCTTTGTTTCATAAACTGCTTCTGTATAAGCCCCCTTAATGAGCAGGGGCACAAAGTAAGTTGTTTTAAATCTTCACATCACCTTATTAAGCTGTCTCTACAAGACAGAATTCTTCCATCTCTCAAAGTAAAAGAAAAATAGTGGCCAGGAAAAGCAGGATCCTCCTAAATATCCAGAAGGGAGTTGTGGTGCACAGCGGGAGCAGCCAGTGACATGCTCCCCTCCTGCAGCTCCTGCCATGGGACCCCTACCTTGGCCCTGAAACAGCTGTCTACAGCTCACACTCCTCTCCAACCATAGTCCACAACATGCTATCTCCAAGTTTATATTCACAATGTAAGAGCGGGGAAATAGTTTTGATTTTAGCACATTGATCCATAATTTCTAACTTTTAACAAAATCATGTTTTCAGCAAAGGCAAACATAATTTCTTCCCCTTACAAAAAAGTCCACTCTTGGATAGATCTAGATTTGTTTCTTTGCTCCTTATACTTAATTACTGGAATCACCAAATAGCAATAATCTTCTGGGTCTCGTGGCAGTATTATAAAGTTATGCTTAAGACAACACAGCAGCAAATAAATGAATCACTTTACCAGCCACAAAAACTGCACCATTATTGCACTGAATTTCCAGAGCAATGCAGAGGTTCTTTGGTGAACTTGGGGGACATGGAAAATGCCTGTATAAAAGAAGATTAAAAAATACTAGTAATAGCAGAACATGATGGAGCACCACCATAGCAATAATGGCATGAAAGATGACAACTTTAGTTACACAAAACACAGCTACAGTATAAAGTCAGTGTTTGTATTAAAAGCTGGAATACCAAGAAATGAATAAACATTAAGCAAATCAAGAACACTGCATTGCAAATACTTTTATCAATCTGTCATTGAATATTATTGAAGTAAAACACTCCAAGGTGTGCTAATACAACGTACCACATTGTAGTATCTTCAGCATCTATTACTAAATCTTTGCTGGGAAACAAAGAAAAAAGCTGTGGAGACTTAGTGCAATAAGGCACAGTGAACTACAGAAAAGTGTCTACTGATGTCTTCCCACTGCTTACGATTTTTACCACATTACAGCACTCAGTGTTTTCATAAAACTCAACTCCTAACATTTTGGAAACATGGGAAAAAGGCTTTATTGTAAAGAGAAGCTTGCCTTACAAACCATAAGGATCAAAATACAGAAGGAAGTTCCATGACGTCTAAATCTCTCTGTGGTTTTGGGGATGTCCATAAAGATTTTTGAATGTAAATGATTGGCAATACTACAACAAACTATTTTCACTTCTAACCCTTCTAAATCCCATGCCAGTCCAGAGATCTGCAGTGACGTACTGATGAAAGCACAGAGCAGAACTGCAGCTCTCTGACCCACCATTTCTCCTCTGTGCTGCTCCTGAGATCATCAACCAATGAAGCACTTTTACTAATAGGAAAAAACCCATCATTTGTGTCACATCCAGTTTTCCATCCTCTGTGGCTTAATCCAATCATTTTAAAATTACTCCTTAAATAAAAGATCTGGAATGATATTTTTTTACCAGAATAATAGAAAATATAACACATTTTAACCAGTAAACAAGCAGAATTTAAACAACCACTACTTACCCACCTAATATTTTCCTCCCCATCCTAATTCTACACAAAAGCACAATACTAAGAACTAGTTTCGGTATATACTTACTTGAGAAAATCCTCTTCTTTTATCTTCTCCAGAGCTTTTATAACCGCCATTCTAGTGAAAACAGACTGCACAGTGAAATACAAAAATGAGTCAAGAAGAGAAACTAAGAAAGGATATGCCTAAATAAGAAAAAAAACCCCTAAAACATATACACCATACACTCCTCACAATATAGTTTTTTTCACTTGTGTTTTGTGTTTTCTTACACCTAAAAGCAACTCTATATCAGCAAGAACTCACTGTGATCTTAACCCTAACTTTAATAGAGCAACAAAGAGCAACAGGTAATTTTGCCAAAATCTGTTCAAGTAACTTTATTGACAACATGAAAGCAATACAACTAGTACAGCTGACAGATTGCAGCATAACAGTTATTTTGTTGTAGAACTAAGATTGGCCCCTTTGTTTCTAGAAGACAGGTACAAACAGTAGTATATGTTTTCTCACTCTGTTTTTACACAGAAAAAAAACAAACAAGTGCCACTGACTTTCACCAGGTTGAAAGTTACTGTCACGCTTCCAAATAAACTTACTCCAGCTCCTTAGAATATTCAACTGCTACGCTTGCCCTTTGGTTAGCTGAGAGAAATGCTAAGCACATCTTATTACAGATGATATACAAAAGTGTGCAAAAGCAAGAAAAAAAGTAGTGGTTGGGTGCTCAGGTCCAATCTACAAAACAGATTAAAATCGGAATCCTAAGTCCATGAACAGAAACCTAAACCAGCTTCCCTGTTTTCAAGAGTTAAGTATACCTAAGCCCCAACTTTTATCTCAGTGACCATAGGCAGCTAGCTCTGAAAATAATACTGTTGAGTAGATATCTGTCTATGAAGTCCAAAAGTTCATTCATAGTCAGAGGTAAGGGCTCGGCAATTCCTGAACTGTGGAAAGCAAGCAACTTCAGTCTCTTGAGCTGCATTAATTCACAAGGATGAATTGATGGTAAAAGTAGTAATGATAGTAGTACAATAGTGTCGGGAGCCAACACTACCATCCTCTATGCATAGCCAGGTGCTGCTGTTGATAACTCAAGTGATGCTGAGGCAGAAAACACAGAATTTAGGTTCCTAGAACAGGAGAAACAAGTGTGGTAACAGGTGAGGTGGAATCCTACTTTAGGAAGGCTGAGGACAGTAGAAGGTCTCCAAATGAGCCTCCTAATCAAAGCATGGTCAGCTATGACCATATCGCGCAGAGTTTTATCTAGTCAGGTCTTGAAATCCTCCAAGGATGGAGCCTGCACACCCTCTCAGCCTCTCCTCCTAGGGCATGTGCTCCAGCCCCGTGACTGTCTGCTGAATTTCCAATTTAATGATGTCCTTTTTGCCAACTGTATTGGGGAATTGGAAAAAAAACAGTGAAAAATACTGGTCACTGTTTGGGACAATTTGCTCTAACACAGAATTCCTGGATGCCTTCAGGAAAACTGCTCTTTCTCTTTCTAAGCATAAACTAGAGATAATAGTATTTTCCTTCCTCACAGAACAGTCTGTTTTCACTAGCTTCAAGCATAGCTTTTTTGTAAGGATGAACCTCTGACAGCTCGTCAGAGTTGGTATTTTTTCCTTTAGATTCTCCTACATCTTGTTGCCTGTGTGGTTTTAACAGCCAGGCCCTGCTGGCTTAACTCCTTATGAGGGATTTCCCCACTTTTACAGGAAAGCAACACAGCAAGCAGTGAGTTATAAGAATACAATCCTGCTAAAAAAAGACTTGCATTTATTGGTCAGGTGGAGCAGAGCAGGCAGAATTCCTGGGTCAGACTGCCTCTGCCAAACGTCGGTAGACTCTTCACCAGAAAGAATGAAAGGCCTTGCCCAGACTTCTGATAGGAGTTACTTGTTCTCCCTGTGATCATACCAACTGTCCTACTTATATCAGTTTCCCTCCAACTGTTTTTTTATTCTTACATGTCCTCTTAACTGTCAATGATTGTGTGTGTGCTCAGGGCCTGCAACAAGTGGCAAGGTCCCTTTTATTTCCTTCCCCGCCTCCAGAGGTAGACAGGATAAAACCACCCTGCATGTATTGTGTCTTTCATTCAGATCAGAGGACATGAAAACTGTAGTGTGATCATTTCTCTTTTGGCTGCAGAGTCTCATCTTCACAACGTGACTTATCTGAACTCTTTCACCCACAGAGAGCTTGAGGATCATCTTTTATGCTACTTTTAATGCATGACAATCAAATTCCTAGATCTTAAATGAGGTATTTAGGGAGAACATACCTAAAATTATGGCCTTTAGACAGTATGGAAAATGAACAACCTAAAGAAAAGCACCAAGCTCTCAAGTTTTCCTCAGCAGAGAAATGTTAAGTGAATAAAAGAGACAACTTTATTTTCAGACAATTGAAAACTAGAGAGATTTTTGATGAAGGAAAACCAGACATTAAACACTGACTGAATACCCAGATAAGTTCTTCGTTGTAGCTACTGCTGTGAAATTCTAAATGGCAGAAAAGAAACACAACATTGATGAGGTCCTACCTGTTTGTTCTTTGCTGGTTTGAAACAGTCTGGACAGGCTGAGGCTCTAAAGACAGAAATGAAAATTAGCTGCTACTCTTACAGAAAAAGAAATAAACAGACAGACTTAAGCATAGCATGTACATGGTCTTCGTACCACTATGTCTAGTATCTCCCTTCCACCCACCGCTTAGCACAGAGCAGATATTTTACCATTAACTTTACCCTAAACGACAAATGGCAGAATTGTGTGTGTTACCTGATCTAGAGAGAAATCCTGGACAAAGCTGTGTAAGCCTCTTTTGCTCTAACCAACACAAATGTGTCTCAGCTTTGAAATGGGATGGAAAAGCACACAATAAATTTAGCTTTCAGTCCTTTACAAGCTTTCTCAATAAAGTAATGATTAATGTTTAAGTTCTGTGGAAGATTTCCTAACATCTCAAAATCTTTACTTGATGTTCTTAGACAATGCACACTGCAAACTAGAGATTCAAATTGCTGCTGCTGGATAGGAAAATTCATTTTACTACAGAAAAAGTAACCCCAGGTGGTCGATACCATTTGTGCTTTGCCTCTTCAAAAGGAAACTATTGGTTGTTTCAGTAAAGTGAAAGCCAAGTCAGTGAAACACTTTTCTGAGTACTGTAGAGGAAGTTGCTGTTCCTATTAGTGGATTTCTATGTATGCAGTTACAGATGATTTCTAGCCTACAACACAATATATAATTTATTGCTGGTGCTTTTCAATGCCTCTGTGACTAGTTTAGACTATAAGGAAGCAGATCTGACATTTTGCTGTTTCTATACAAGGAACTTGCCTGGCCAGTTTGTGATACAAAGCATCACAACTTCCCTCTTCCAGAATTTAAATTTTACCTTACTTTTAAACATAGATCTGCAAATATAAACTAACAAGAGCCAATTCAATCTTCCATGTCAAACCAAGGGTCATTTTAGCACACCTGCCTACACATAATTGTGTCAGAACAGCTTGAGAGATGAGAAATTGCAGATGCCATACTTGGAAATCCCACCCAAAAGCATACCTGCAGGACTCAGGAAATAAAAAAGGACCTAACTGCAGGCTGAGATAAGGTCATTACCAAAATTGTGACGATTGTCAAATTTACCATACTTACAGCGAAACCAAACCATTGCCCCAGAATACACCCAGAGCCATCCATTCACATATGCAGAATGCTTTGACGCCTGAGAAACTGCTATGTAATTAAATTAGGTAATATGCTGTCACTTCAGAAAAATGTCTAAACCCTTAATTGCTCTTTAAGTTTGCTACAAAGAGAAGCCAAATAAAGGGACATTGTCAAGCCACATGGAATAAACCTCAGTAGTTGGAATGTGGAACGGAATTTCTTTACAGCTTTCACCTCTACAGCCATTCCACTTGGAGCACTAACATTGGCACCATAAGATGCTTGGCATCAACATTTTTGAAGTATCACAAAAAGGATAGAAGGATGAGCTGAAAACAAGAACTGCCAGGTTTCAGAGGAAGGAAGGGCACTACAGGAAACAAGAACCAATCAAATAAAGCTAAATAAATAAGAACAAAAGGGTGCAGGACCCAGAAACTTTTGAGTTTTTACAGGACTGTAAGTACCACTATCTTTAGCATTGTATTTTAGCCCTACTACTTTCTCCGCCCTTCTGCCCAGTCTCCAGGAAGCTGGACAGGAAAGAAGTTGCAAATGCTGGTAATCAATTCCTCCTAATACCACGTATGTCCCCAAGCATGCACTCCCTCACCTCCCACCCCAAGACGGGATGAAGGATGCAGGTGTTGAAAAGCAAGAAGGTGGCAGATTGGGCATTCAAATAAAGAGCACAGATTGCCAGAAGGGCAAAATCAGGGAAATAGCCAAAGGCTGCAAAGGAAATCTGTAGTCTCAAGAGATGAAGTCACTGTGCAACACAGAAGTCAAAAATTCTATGCTGAGCCTCTTTCTATGCTAAGATTTAACTCGCAGTGGGAGCACAAGTGATGAAACTGAGTGAAACTTTAAGTTTTCCAGGAAGCATCAGCAAACAGGAAGAGTGAACATAATTATCCAGAATAAACTACTGCTAGATTTTCAGAAATCAGATTAAATGGTAGCTAAATTCACAGAAATATTTTGCTTCTTTGTGTACAGCAGATGCTCTATTGGACCAAGCCAAAAACTTTCAGTAGTGGCCAGGGAACTTCTGTTTGTTTTAATCGACCAGCTAAATTGGATCAACTCACTTCTAAGCCTTCCCTCCCATCCACAACTCCTACAAGAGCAGGAAAACCTATGCACAACCTCAAAAGATTCCTCCACTTGCCACTATGTGGTTTGAATTTACTTTTTAATAAATTCACTGAAATAAATTATTGAAGACGGTAATGACTTTGAAAAGGGCTGAAATTGAACAATTTACCTGAACGTTCTCCTTCCAGTTCAAAACAAAATTCCAGATTATTTTCTTTATTGGCTTTAAAGCATAGAATTACCCAGACCCAGATGGCATAACTTTAAGCTCTGCAAATCTGTCTGAATACGAGGAAGTTTTGACGCAGGCCCTATTCTAGTTTATAAACACTGCATATTCTCATCTGTAGCAAATCCAAACCAACAATGTTGCACAATATTTAGATAAAGATCTTTTGTTATTTATATAAAAACTTACAGGAAATGGCACTCCTCGTCTGTTTCTGGGTGAGCAAAGACCACGCTAACTTCAAACAAACTCTAAATTAAAAAAAAAAAAAAAAAAAAAAAAGAAAGAAGGAAGGTAATACTTTGTTAAACAAACAGGGAGGATATTCTCAAGTATCCTTATTGGATTCCTAATAGGAAAACAGTAAAGAGGTAGTAAAAAAAGAAAGTAACCCATTTATTATACAAATCAACTGAAGACATTAAAATGTGTGCCACAATAGCATTTGCATTTCTGAAGTAACCAAAGATGATCTGAGAGCACTTCAAAAACCTGAGTGACCTACACATCATAGATACCAGCCCCATTTTGCACAGGGGGAACTGAGTCAGAGACAGGGTATGCTCAAAGCCTATTACGGTCACTAAACTTAACAAACCTTCTGGGAGAGCAGCGCATAGCGGGGAATAAAGATAAAAACCCTGTAGTAGTCACCACTGTAAAATTTTGTCAGGGGTTTCGTTTGCAATGACTGGATGGCCTTGGGGCAAAGAAAGGCAACATGTCCTAGTGGATTGACAGCTAGACCAGAAACTCTAGTGTAATCTCAATTCTACCCCCAATTCCCTCTTTGGCCTTGGGCAAACAACACTCATTACTTCTGTTATTCAGATACCAGAATACCTCAAGAGGGCTGTTGCAAAGACTGGCTAATATTCAAGTGCCTTGTAGATAAAGACAAGTAACTTTCATGGTAGAATGACATCTGAAGTAGCTCAGTGCCTAAGTGTTGCAGAGCTTTTGCTACCTTGGTATGCAAGAAGTTTGGGGTTTTTTTGGATCATCTTCAGGGTAACTGGGTGTTTCATCATTAAGACAAAAAGGATGTTTTCAATTAGCACCCTTGAGAAAAGACAATCTGTAATTATTATGGAAGCTGACAAACCAACATACAGACTAAGTCTAGTCCTGAGGTCAGTCCTATTGCTGATGACAAGTAAAAACTGCAGACTGCCTTGTCCTCAGC